CAGGCCTTCAGCCTTCTCCACACACGCATGTACTGCCAGCAGTTTGTGGAAATCACACTGATGTTACTGGGCATGTGGCTGTTGTCCTCACTGTAATCTTTGTATCCCACGTTTTGGGGCTTTTTTATTTTTATTATTCTAAAAAGAAAACCTCAGAATTTAGAGCTTGAAGGACACAGAGTACACATTGCTGATAAAAACTCCATCTCTTGGGACCAGCAGTTAGCATAATGGATATGTCGCTGGACTCCCACATAGTCGACCACGGTTCAAATCCCGGACCCGATGGTTTAAACTCACGCCAGGCATGTGTGCGTGCTTGCCCAAGATCCCAAGAGGAGAATGGAGGAGAAGGGATTGCAGCGTAGCCATCCCCCCTGGGGATGGCGAGTGAACACGCCCTATTGCCAGGTCCTCAGCAGTCACCCTTACCCCAGTGTCCGCCATCCCTGAATCTGAGCGTCACATTGGAAACGGCCTTTGAGAAGTCCACAGATTTCTGGATACAGCACCTTTCTTCTGTTAATACTTGCGTGAGAGTAAAGCCACGAGTAACTTCATTTTTTCCCTTAAAGGTGTATGCAGTATTAAAATGAAATCTTCCTTCCACACGTAAAGCATAGTCTATTTTGGATGCACCTGGCATGGAAGAGTGAAGAGTAGAAACAGACCACCCATCCCCTAGAGCTCTGAAACGACTGACGAGTATTACACTGTGTAATTTCTTACCAATGTGTTTTGAGTTTCTGTCTTTCCATCCATCTATCTGAAGCAGACAGACAGACATAAACAGACAGGGACTCCTGACAAGGTCTCATCACACAGCTCCCCTGCTCGTCCCCAGCCTCCGAACCAGCCAGGATCGTGGGCACTGCGGGAACCCAGTCTGTTCAGGTGGACTCAGGATCCAAACCCTGGGCCCTCCCGTGTGGCTCCAGCTTTGTGCAGTGGCATCACAGTGCCCATGCCACTGGGCTAGGCCTCTCTCTCTCTTCCTTCTCTCTCTTCCTTTTTCTCTTCCCTCTCTTCCTCTCCTCCCCATCTTTTTTCTGATTTTCTGACCTTTTTTTAATGTAAGAAAGAAGACAAAATAAAGAACACCTGCTATTTAATGTTCGTACATAGATCCAGTACTTAGGCGATGTGTGTAAATTAATTAATTAAAATAAAAGTTTCAGGAGAAAAAACACGAAAACTGTTTTTCTTGAAATTAAAAACAATGCATATTTGATGACTGCAGTAAGCTATCTAGCCCCAGCTAGGTGCTACTTTATAGTAGTTCATTCTCCTCACTGAGGGTTATGCCTAAAGTCAGACTCGTGTTCATGGATATGTGTATGTCAGCTGCGCTTGCTACTGAAAATATTTAGATTAAGTTCACTAGAAAATCAATAAAATGGGGGGGGAGGCTTAGAAAGCAACCATGGATACCAAAGACAGTGTGGGAGGAGGGTGGGACACGGCAGAGGGTGACAGATGGGGAATCAAGGATGGCAAATAAAAGCAAAATACAAAGGAAACAAAACATGAAAAATTCTCTTGACGCTAACACACATGTTGATGTGCTTGATTGAGCCAATATACAGTGTATTCTGAATGGTAAATCTCATTTTATATGCTGTAATGATGCATAGTGAATGAATGTAAATAAATAAATTTAACTAATAAACAAATAAATAAATTGATCCAGGACTAAACTTGTGTGGGAAAAATGGCACTATTAATTTTTCTCTGAATTTATCAGTAAACTTAAGGTGACACAAATGAAAATCAACACTTTTTAACTTGACATAGTAATGCCAAAGTTGAGATTATTTTAGTTTAAGTATTAAACTATATGTTTAAGTTTATATGTAAAAATAAACAAATAAGCAATGTCACTCTGAAGTATTAATGGTAATTCTGTCTAGCCGGCTCCAGTGTAATGTGGTAGTAATCAAATAGACCATAGGAAACAGTGGAAACTCCAGAAAGAGGCCCAAATTCAGTGTTCAATAAAGGCACCTTTTCGTATCAGTGGGAGGAAATGGATTCTTCATCAGATGGTGTTAGGGTAACAGACTGAGAACAAGAAATAACTAAGCCGAATCCTTTTTTTTCTTTCTTTTTCTTTTCTTTTTTCTTTTGTTTTTTTTTTTTCTTTTTTTGCTGTAGAACGTATGTGCTTGCCAGAGAGAGACAGAGAGAACGAGAAATCAGCCCTAAGGAGGAGTGGCCACACCAGTCCCTCCTTAGATTTTGGGCATGCATGCACATGCACCCGTCGTGATTTTCAGGCCACCAGTTCTGAGACTCACGTCGACCAGGGGGGATGGAGCTGCCTTAACCTCCATACCACCTGTTGGATCCCTATGTTGTTTCTTATAGCAAAGTGAATCCAAGACAGATTGAAGATTTATATGTTAAAAACAAAAACAAGCCAACATAAAACTGCCTTCCTCAGAGCTGGGGGTAGAGGAGCTACATGTGCTCCTCCATGAATGCTCCCTGAAGTCGGATGCCCTGTGTTACCTGTTCCAAACTTTACTTACCATATCAGTAATAGACTATGAAGTTACTCAAAGGAATAATGGGAGAAAAATGGTTTTTAAAATAATTCTGGGATGTGCTTTCCCCCTCTTCTGTCAGACTCAGCCCTCAGCAGGTCAGTAGGAAGGTGACTCGTTTCTTGGGAAAGCACTTGACAAAACGCATCACTTCTAATTGCACAATCTCCTTTGCCCGACTACGTTTCTTCTGGGAATTTCACGTGCACCTACTGGCTGCATAGGGAAATATGCACAGGTTGTACATCGCAGTAGTGTTTACAGAGCCCGAGTTCTGGAAACGAGATAAATGAACAGCAACACATGCCAGTTAAATTACGGAAAACAAGTACAGTGGCGTTCTGGAGAGTCGTGTACAAGAATGTTGTAGCCATATGTGCTGATAGACCATGCGGAGTATTTTATGCTCTGAAGTGGGAGGGAAAAAGCGTAGCGAGCAGAATGTAATTTGGGCCCACTTACAAGTGTAAGACTAAAAGGATCTTTTCGCATGGGGTGCTTTGGCTAAGTGTCCGTGAGGCTCCTCGTAGGGTCAGAGTGACAGAAGGCCGTGGCTTACATTGAGCTTCTGCCCTCCAGACCCATACAGCCCAGGCCAACCAAAACTCACTCATGTCGAATGCCTCATAGTGGAAACTGAAACAGATTACCCAAGCAGACCAGTTTTTCCTAAAAATAGGAGATTCCAGGCTACACGAGGAATAATAAGGAAGTCCCCTGGGCTTTGACCCCTGCTGTAAAGCGATTGGCTGCGACTTGATGTGAAGCCGTCAGCCTTTCTCTGTCCTGGTCCCTGTCCCCACTTTAGGAAACCCTCCGTTCTGCCTCTTCTGCTCTTCCGGCAGAGCCGTCATCCTGTTTTGTAAATGCAGGCTGCCCCAGTTTAGGAGTAGTGAGTAAGAACTGAGTAGCTGACTTTGGAAGAATGAATCTTAGTGGCAGATATGTTTTTAAGCTGTGTATCCTTTTATTCTGTTTGAATTTTTTTTTCCATTGTGCATGTATTACTTTTTCAAGTAAAAATGAAGACCTTCTTAAAAATACAGTGGATTGATCCAGCCCACATAGCCTAATGGATAAGGGAACTTACCCCACATACCAACCATGTTTAAATTCCGGCTCTGGCAGCTTGGGAAATACACTCAGTGAGTGTGTGTGCATGTCCAAACCCTGACAGGGTGGAGAAGTGGAGGAGATAGGCCTGCAGTGTGGCACCCTGTGGAGGTGGGGTGCTTCCGCCCTCTCTCTCTGCTGAGAACATGTGCACTCTGACAGCTTACCACTAAAAAAACACAGATTGCTATAAAGCAGTAGGAGAACGAAACAGGCCCTCGTAATCAGCATGTTGAGTTAAAAAAAAAAACTTTCAAAGAAACACAGACAGTATGATGTTACTGGCCTGGCAGATGGCATGGAGGTTCAGCTGTTCGATCCCACATGGTCAACACTGCTGCTTCAGTCCCGGACCCACTGGCATGAAAATCACGCCAGATGCATGTGCCTGCATGCCTCAAATCTGAAGAGAATGGAGAAGGGATTGCGGCATGGCCATCCCCCAGGGGTTAATTTCTCACTTTCGCTGTCTCTTTCTGTCTCTCTCTGGTGAGTACACATACCCTATAGAAACAGAAAAGAAAAGGAAGAAAGAGAAAGAAAAAAAAAGAAACTAAAAAGGTATTGAGGCCAGCAAGTGGTACAGTGGTTAAGACATTGGACTCCCACGTGGTTGACCACAATTTCGAGTCCTGAACCTGATGACTTAAAACTCATGCCCTGTGTGTGCATGCCCAAAATCCTGAGAGGAGAATCGAGAAGAGGGAATGCAGCATGGCCAGCCCCCCAGGCTGTCTATCTGGTGAACACGTGCACCCTCTAGCAAAAATCTTAGGGAAAAAAAAAAGTTGTTATTTATGAATGTGTGCATGCAGCGGAAGTATAAACACACACACACCGGAATGAATACAGGTCCAGAAAAGTAGTTACATCCAGGGAGGAAGAAGAGAGAGAGCGCTGCAGCCGACTCTAATAGTTTCCTTATACTCTTTGCAGCATTCTTTTTTTTTCTTTAAAGTATTATTTATTCATTCATTTATCTTAATTTGATCAGACACACACACACACACACAGGAAGTCATCAGGTCCAGAACTAGAACCGTGGTCGGCCATGTGGGAATATCCAGCGCCTTAAACACCATGCCACCTGCTGGTCCCTCTTTTCAGCATTCTTAAGCAAATACAGCAAAACGTTAATTATCAGTAAAATCAAGTTGATGCTGCTTTTTGTGCTTTTCTACATGTTTGAAAAATTATGTACCTTTAAAATTATTCTACATATTTATTTATTTTTCCCCTAGCACTCTTATTTTATTTAATTGTCTTATCAGTTCATTACTGAGTCGAATCATAGTTTTCAAAAGTCACAAATACTCTCTCTCCTTTTACCCCACTCAATAGGTCGGCAGTGGCAGCGACCCCTGGTCAGCCTGGAATGCCCCCAAATCTGGAAACTGGGAAAGCACGGATGGTTGGGGGGCCAGGCCAGAGGGGGCCAGCACCCAAAGAAACTCTGCCAACAACTGGGACTCTGCCTTCGGCCACCCGCAGGCCTACCAAGGACCAGGTGAGGCAGGGCTCCCACCCGTACGTGACCGGTAGGAGGCTGTGCGAGAGCCCGGAGAAACCGAACTGTTCTTGGCCCTCCCACACTCAGCCCGGCACTGGACACTTCTGTAACCAAAGGCGGGGAGGGCCCCACACCCAGCGGTTCTGTAGCAGATCCTGTACTTTAACTCAGTTCCAGCACATCTGCCTGGAATCAGATCCAGGCTGTTTCCTGACCCCCTCCTCTGGCTGACTCATTGGCTAAAGCAGCCCCCAGAACTCAGTCAGGGAGACTCTTCACTTATTCTTGTCCACTAATGACAGAGGGTAACCTGGAGCGTGCAGCGGAACAGCAGAGACGGTGCACAGGGCAAGGTGCCGGGGGTGGGGGTGCTCCCATTCCCTCCACAGGCACCCCATGTGTTTACCAACCTGGAAGCTCTCTGAACCCCACAGTGCAGGGTGCTCACAGGGCACCATCACGTACCTGCTGCCGACTATTGACTCAGCCTCCAGCCCCTGTCCTCTTCCCAGAGGGTGGAGCAGTCTGGGAGTTACAAGCTTCTAACCCTGGCATGGTCTTTCTGGGGACCAGCCCCCACCCACGAGCCCACCAAGAGTCACCTTGTTAGAACAAGATTTCTATTACCCAAGAAATTCTAAGGGGTTAGGACTGTGCCGGGAACTGGGGACAAGACCAAATCTGAGACAGAGGACGGACCTCGTCCCCATTGCTCGTAAAGCACACAGGCTTAGGAGCTCTGTGCCAGAACCGGGGACAGAGACTGCAGAGTTTGTAAGTTTATTTATTTCTCCCAAGAGACAGGACCCAAGGGTCCTGACAGTGCAGCCCACCACCACCCACAGCCAGCCCCCAGCTCATGGGCCTGCACGTGCTCTGTGTATGTAGGGAGCTCTCTGGACTTGAACTGGCAACCTTCCCGTGTGGAATTGCCTCACAGAGCATCACGTTTTACTCTATGCCTCTGTCTGGCCCCCTGTTTCTGATTATCTCACAATATCCCACTAGATCATCTGAGTTAAAGCTAGATTTTGTCCAGAAGAACGTATGGTTGCTTCTTTCACCAGTAGTAAACCTGGAACCCAGCGTAGACCGTCGTTGAGGATCCACAGACGTAGGTAGTCCTTGCTTCCAGCCTCCCGTCCAGTCTCCGCTGTCTGTCAGGGAGTCACGAACTCAGGTACTTGACAGGGCCAGGTTCTTACAGTAAAAGAACAAAGCAGGCCTGGCGGTGGCTTCGGAAGCCTGAAAGCACGTTCTGCCTGGGGGCCACCTCTGTCAGGGCAGCAAATCCCTGTCCTCGCTCCTCGCAGGGAAGCTCAGACGGAGTGGGCCGTTCTCCCCATTTCCGGAGAGGAAAAGGGAATCGCAGGCCTTGTGTTGTCCCTTCATCGTAATGTCCCAGCAACTAACTCACAACTAACTCATTTCCTTTTTTTTTTTTTGGGGGGGGGTCGGGGAGATTTTCACTGTAGGGCGCGTGCGCTCGCCAGACAGAGAGAGACATAGAGACAGAAAGCGAGAAATCACCCCCCGGGGGGATGGTCACGCCGCAATCCCTTCTCCTCCATTCTCCTCTCGGGATCTTGGGCATGCATGCACACACGCCCGGCGTGAGTTTTAAGCCACCGGGTCCGGGACACGAACCGCAGTTGACTATGTGCGAGTCCAGCGACATAGCCATTACGCTAACTGCTGGTTCCCTCATTTCTTTTTACATCTCCAGCCGAAAGACGTATGCAGATAGACCATGGCTCATCACCATTGGCCTACGGCCTCGGCATTGGCTGTTTTTCTTTTCCTTAACTGCCTGTTTGACTCCCGGGATGTTAATAGAAACACTGAGGCAGATGAGAAGCTTACAGGTGGAATTAAAAAAGGCAGAAGGGGGTCTTGAAAAAGTTCACAGAAAATGCATATTATGAGAGAACCGTGTGTGGATTTCAAATTTTTTTGCACCAAAATAAACCTGTATCGTAATTAGATCTTTCAAGAAGTTTTTGAAGTCTTTGCATTACTTACATCTGTTCTGAAATTAAATAGGAAAGTAGGGGTCAGCCCATGCTGCTTCTGTGAGCCCTGTGGTTCTCTGTGCGTGGTGCCAGGAGCTGTGTGTCTGCTCTAAACACGAGGACTGCAGAGCCGGGGGGCGGAGATGGGCATTGTCAGACTGCAGGACTGGGAGTCGCGGGCTGGGAGACAGTGTTGGCCGGCTCTGCAGCAGCCTGGCCCCATCCTCCTCGGAGTGTCTGTTTCTTTCCTTTTGGCGTTAGCCCCGCAGCTCCTCTGTGGCTGGCAGTCTGAGGGCCATGTGCTGCCTGATACATGAGAGACAGAGGCCCCGAAATGTGGGCAGAGGAAGGAGGTGAGGGCTAGTGGGCGGCACTTGTCGGACACAGAGATGTTAGCTGTCGACACGGGTTTCTTCTTTTCTCCTCTATTTTC